AAAGTAAAAAAAAAAAAAAACAGTTTTTAAAATTAAAATGAAATAAAATAAATCTAATAATAATAAAAAATTTAAAAAAGTACCCCGCCCCCAGTGTCTGCTGTGTCACCACAAGTGGTGGTGTTTCAGTTCATGTGAAACCACCGTTCACTTTTATAGAACTCTAAAATATCATAGGGCATGGCACCGGTGACATCGCTTCGGATGGTCACAGAGACAAAACCCCGTAGGAGATGGCGAGTCCCTCTGCACTCCTCACAGCGTTCCCGGCCCAAGCAGCTGTACTGGTGCTCGCAGTGACAATCACGGATGGCACTGTGCAAATCAACAGTGAAAAGTAGAAATTTCTACTTTTTACATTTCTAACCCAAAGAGTGCTGGCTCTATACTTCATTACATACCATAAAAGAAAATGCAAAAATCACACCAAAGACAAAAGCAAAAGGCATTTTCCTTTCCTGTACCATTCTAACACACAAACGTATAAATGTAGATTCACTTGTGACACTGTCATTGTAATGGGCCCTGTGCTGAGACTGTTGTCACCTGACTTGTGATGAGTGTTACAGAACGTGTTTACTGCAGGGCATGAAAGAATTAGAAGTTGTTACCTAAAAGCATTATGTGATTATGTGATATGGGAGCGTGTCACAAGACTTGTTGTGTAAGCCTGCTTCCAAATGTTCACTGGAGCAGTTCAACCTAGAGTGCTGGGCTTCATAAAATCAGAGAGAGGAACACGGCTGTTTTAAAAGGAGAACTCGGGCTACAACAAATGCTACAACCAGCACCAGCTTCTTTTAGAGAGCTGATGATGCCCATTTGGCATGTTGAGGGGAATGTATCAAAACTTGAAGACAAAATCTGGAGCAGCATTTCACGGCAACCAATCAGCTTCCATCTTTCATTTTCAAATCTTAACTGAATAAACTGAAGAGAGAGAAGCTGATTGGTTGCCATGCACAGCTGCTCCAGATTTTTTCTAATACACGAGCTCCAAAACTCATGCAGGTATCTAGCCCCGCTCATTCCAAATTAAAAGTGATAAGGTCAAAATGCGTTTCAGCTATTTCAAATGCTAAATAACCTACAATGGATGCTGCTTCCTGATGTTTAGAAGTTTAAGTTTCCTGCAGAATCTGCTGGTCCCCCTAAACACAGGCCCTGATCTCCCTTTTTCTGTGTGGCTCTTTTACCTTGCAGGCCCCATGGAGCCACCCTTGTGTGTGCTAGTAAGCTGTGTGTGTGTGTGTGTGTGTGTGTGTGTGTGTGTGTGTGTGTGTGTGTGTGTCTCTACAAAACACACACACACAC